TAGTTGGCTGCTACACCATACCTTGATAACAATTCTTGCACCTCCTGGCAGGTAAACTCCGATCCCCTGTCCATTACGAATTCCCTGACGAAAGGGTAGCGCAGATAGTACTCCTCGATGCAGCTCACCAGGACTAACCCGGTCTTTGTGCGAATAGCACGCCCGTCTACGAACCCAGACAAGTTATCGCGCGCATCGAAGACATAGTTATAGCCCTGATCCCCAAGCGGCATGAAAAGTAAATCGAGATGCACTACAACCCCCACCTCTCGCTCTAGCCTCGGATGCAGCGGCTCTCCTTGCCTTAAACGGGATCTCTCCTGGCAAGGTACGCAAGATCGGCAAAATTTTCCGACCATGTCCATCATCCCATCCCAGTAGTACAACTCACTTATCTTGGCATATGTGGCTTGTACCCCTCGATGCCCTCCTGCAATGCCATCGTGAAGCGCTGTCACAACGTCGATCTGACGATTCCTACCGCAGACGACTCTCCTGGGATTCCCCACTTCTCTTCTCACGAAAAGGTGGCCGTCTCGCACTAAGTAGCGYTGCAGCATTCTCTGAGCCCTATCGCTTGCATCCCTTAGCCGTATTTCACATGACAGAARAARCCCYAGCTCTAGGTAGATCCCGTCATACTCCTCTGCACGAAAAGCCTCCTTAATCTCCCCCTCCTCGAACTCGTCGTCCTGGCTTTCGGGCACTTCGTCCACATTCCCTGTCGGGTTCAACGAGCCTGACTGGTCGGGGCTTTCCTGCAATAACGTGTTGACGAGGAGATACATTCCTCCCATCAGGTCCTCATGCCGTTCTACCTGGCCAGACCCTTCCTCAATCGCCCTCATATCCTCCACCAGGCTATGCGAGCTGGCCAGCGCTAGCTCCATCATCCACTGAACATTCTTACCACCCCAGGGATCTTCTTCTTCAAAGGGTTTGAGGACTAGCTCGACCCTCCTTTCATACCCATTCGGCGCCTGYCAGATAGGRTAGCYTAYACAGCTRGGTACTCGCGGCGACMACTTGTTGATGTGGASACGAACATSTTCYTCCTGATCCAGAAATCCATCAACTGGGGGCGTATTCYCCACCGCCTCTCCTTCCTGGTTATCCCAGTTGATACGACTCAGCCCGTCCGCCCGGTTCTTGCTACCAGGAATACGTTCCAACTCGAAGTTGAACATCCAGATGTATGTCAGCCATCTGGCAACCGTCAGATCCGATGGAACGTAATTCCTTAGAGAGTGGGCCAGGGCGGTCGGATCCACTCTCAAAACAAACCTCCTGCGGAAGATATAGTTTCGGAAGATTCGCAGACAATGAAGGACAGCAAGGGTCTCCCTCTTGAACTGAGAGTAGTTCCTCTCCGTCGTACAGAGAGTTCGACTCTCAAATCGCAAGGGACTTTCCTTTCCTTATACGTCTGTCTGAATTACAACTCCCCCTAAGGCAGTAGGCCCCTCGTTCGTTTCGACAATGAAGGGTCGCGTCTCCGTAGCATCATAATTTGGCGCTCCTAACACCAACCCTCCCTCTCGAAACTCCTCCTTCATTCTAGCGACCACTTTTTCCTGCTTTTCACCCCAAACTCATTCCTGATCCTGACGGACTAACTTCCTGAGGTGTTCAGTCTTAGCGGCAAAATTCTTGACGAAGGCCCTCCAAAATCCACACGTACCAAGGAAGCTCCTGACATCAGTTATTGAGTGGAACGGAACAGGCCACTCAGTAATCTTGTCCGTCTTCTTCACATCCGGCCTCCGGCCCTTCTCGCTGCAGACGAACCCTAGGATAGTTGTTTCCCTCATGCAGTGTCTGGATTTGGCCCCGCTTGCCGTAAGGTTATGCTCCTCGAGCAGGCTCAGGACCTTTTCAAGGTCCTGGATGTGCTTCCAAACAAAGCGTCTTATCCCTGGCGAGACTTCGTCGCTCTCCTTCATTGACGGCCCTTTCACTGCCAAATCATCGATATATGGTTGTGTGATATGAGGGCTGACTGACTGCATAACACGACTCATGGCCCGTTGGACCATTGCTACCGCGTTGGTCCACCCTTGTGGGGCCACATTCATGTGGATTAACCCTCGCGGCGTGTGCATAGCCGGCACCGGCCTGTCTGACGGGTAGACCGAAAACTGATCATATCCTGAGTAAAGGTCTATAAGCGAAATTATAGGCCTTCCAACACAGGATTCCGACAGGGCGTTTGCATTGGGCAATCCTCCAGCATCCCGCACGGTCACCGCATTCAGCCTCTGCAAATCTTGCACCCACCGCAGCATCCCGTTCGGCTTGATGAAGCAGAACCACGGGGATGCATACGGTTCACTCGAATAGTCGGCGACGTGCGTACGTATCTTGCCGTTGAGGTAATCCACCACCTTCTTTTCCTCGTCAGGATTAGGATATCGCGCCCCTCTCATGTTCCAAGGCTCGTGTGGCACGGTGTGGATGCGGATCATAGGTATCTTGTCCACATCCAGCCTGCCACGCTCCTCGTCACTAAACGCATAGGCGCGATGCCTCCTTTTCATCAACTCCACCATCAATGTCCGCTCCTGAGGCAGCAGGAAATCTGGTTCCCCTATAATCAACTCCCCCTCATTCCCTTCGTTGATACGACATGGCCCTACTAGCGCACTCTCCCTCATTCGCCGTATCAACCATCGCTCCCTCTCATAGTATGCTTCCTCGTCTTCAGTAACGAGGACGGGCATCGGACGACACTTCTTGTCTACCGTCTTGTACCGCCTTTGACAACCCTGCTTGAGCCGTCCCCTAAAAAAAACCGAGACTGTGCTTGCGCCGATGCAGGGTTCCTCCTTCCGTCCGGAAGACGATATACCAGCTTCAATATCCCAGCCTCGGGGCATTCCAGAATTTGCTCCCTCAAGGCCTGGATGGCATCCGGATCCGCCACCTCATGTGCGGCCACCAAATCCATGACCTTTCCGACGTTCGATAAACTGAGGGAAAATGCTTTCACCTCTTCTTCTTCTTTCGGCTCCGCCCGAAGTCTTCGACGCTCGCCCTCCGATTCTTCGATCGTGAAAGATCCTGGGTTGGGCCGGTTCCTTATACTCCTCGGTCCCGTATTTCTACAGGTAATTATCTTGTAATTCCCGCAGGCAGGGTCACATAGAAGGAGGATTAGAGTCTCATCATGCTTGTTAAACATCACGGTCTCTGTCCTACTAAAAAATGACCTTCCAGTAGGATCCCGTGGTCCACGCCCGGCATTATAAAGAAGCATGTCCTGGCTTTCACCTTTCCAACCTCGATGAGCACGTTCGAGGTTGTCCCACAAAACACGGCCTTGTAGCTGGCCCCATGCAGAATCCCGCAATCAGATCGGTCTATATCCAGTCCAAACTTGATTGCATCGGCCTCCCGGATGATGTTCATTTCAGCTCCCGTGTCCACCATGGCTGCTCACTTGGAACCCTTCACCACCAAATCCACCGTGCCACAGGCCACGCACTTCCAATCCATTTTTGTGCCCGATTCCACCCACTCTGCCTCCTTGGGCAGGATCGTACCTAGATGGACGTTGGACACCAAGCGCTGCAACAATCTCCATTTTAGTTCATCGCGGAGTCACGGGGCCGACGCTAGGATTTCCTTCAGGGTCATGAGGTCATTATGCCCTTCCAGCAGCCGGTCAATCACTTTCTCTAAGTCAAACCCCTCTTCCAACCGAACCGCGTATTTCTTATTTTTAGGTGGTCCGTCACGTATGACCGGCTCGGCCTCTCCCCTGGTCCCCTTTTTCCTTGCCCGCTGCTCCGCCCTCTGATCCTCTTCTCGGCGCAGCCTCTCATCTTCTTCCTCCTCMTCRTCGTCATCCTYCACTTCCACGRCCTCTTTCCTCCTYCCTGGTTCGGGCTMCCTCCTAGGAGGTTCTTGGCTGGCACTKRCCTTGGCTTGATTYCTTGTTCGCGCCGCCTGTGCCAGCCGGGCCTGCGGGGTRAGGGGTCTYCCCATCACCCCCGGTTGTGGGCTTGACCCTACCACGTTTACTCCGGGTCGCCCAGGCGCTGATTCCGGGCCGGAGTCATATAGGAACACCTTGGGGATGCTAGACTTCCATTCCCTCACTTCCTCACAGAGGGWCACCAACTTCTGTTGKTASCTTCCCACCTTGTCCAGTAATTCCTCCATCTTCCCCAATAAGACGGACGATGGCTCCATCCTTCTTTCCTCATCCTCGTCGTCCGATTCGGTGACTATGGSCTCTTCCCCCTCGCTTYCCCCTCGYGGCTTTTGAGTTACTTCCTCGYYGYTCCCCACTTCCTCTACCCYAACCAGTGGTTCTTCCTTTTCCTRCCATAATCTGAATCCCTCTATCCCCACCGATGGTCCTTTCTTCTCCTGCCATAGTTTGAATGTGGCAGGAGGTAGCGACCCGGCTGCCGCCCTTCGCTGGGCTTCTGCCCTCACTCCCCCGAGCCTTCTGTCGATGAACTCCCCAAATTGGTCATAGATGTTCCCGTCCATAGTGGAGGAAATCAGCCCGCTTTTCTCGTCCTCCCGCCTTATGTTACAGAACCTTATAGTGTGGCCCTGCTCATCACAATGCTGGCAGATGGCCGACCTCCAATCAAAACGGGGCCTTCCGTATCCCTGACTTCCTTGATCCCCCTGGCCTTGGCTCCCCTGGCCTTGATACCCTTGGCCTTGGTTCCCTTGGCCTTGGCTTCCCCGGCCTTGACCATTCCATTGTCCTCCTCGTCCACCGCCATTCCTGCCTCGCCCTCTTCCTCCACCCCTTCCACCGTTGCCTTGATTGCCCTACCCCTGGTTCCCACCTCCAGCCACGCTTCCCTGTGAACTGGGAGCGGGTGACGGCGGCGGGGCCATAGGCTGGGCCTGGGCTGCGGGGTAGATGGGTGGTGGCATACTCATCTGCTGCCCGGCTACTGGCGGCGGGCTGCCCCATGGCACAATGGCATTGATCACCGGCCAGGGCCACTGCCCATAGGAGGGTGCCCCTCCTTGTGAGGGGCCCACACTAGACGATGGAGCTACTACATTTGGAGGAGCCGCCGCCTGGGCCTGGGGCGCCTGCCCCTTTCCTGATCCCTGCCCGCCCTGCGCCAGATTACGCAGTTTGCGTTGGGCCTTCGTTAGGTGCAGCGGCACTGGCTCTTCCTCTTCCCAGAGTTCCTCCTCAACGGCCTCCTCCAAAACTGACTCTTTTCATTTTACCTGGATAGCTGTTACTACCCTTCTCTGCACCACCGGCTCTGTCGTGTACCCCAGCTGCGCCAATACGTCAGTAACAATCCTCTTTACTCCCGGGGTCCCAGAAGCGGTCGCATCTCTCTCCTTTCTCTTCTGCCTTTGCAGGCGTACCTGACGTTGYTCCACCTGATCCAAACATCCAACTTCTACCCCTCTGTCAATGGTAGCCCAGGTGAGCTTGGTGCTACCCCCTCCATGTCCCGTCAGCTCGACGGCCTCCGATGCCGGAGTAGCCCTAGGAAGATGGCGCACTGTGCCTCCTCCGAAATCCCATGGACCTTCCGCGCCCTCTTCTTGAACTCTTGGACGAAAGCCCCTATCGTCGTAAAAGCCTCCTTGTTCATTGCCTCAAGGTCTGCAGTGGTCAATAGTCCATCTCCCAGGCGGTACTTCCTTTGCATTCCCTCTTTGAATCTTTCCCAGCTACCTTAGGCTGCATCTATAACTTTCTTCACTTCTGGGTGGTAGTTGTGGAGGACATACTGAAGGATGCGTTGGAACCTTACAACGTCCGACCGCCCGACCAGAGCTTGTTCCACCCGCTCCAGCCATTCAGAGACTCTTTCCCCACAAAAATGGAAGGTATCGACCTTGCGGATATTGCTTGGATTCCTTTCATGCCGGTCGATGGCCGCGATGAGGTCATCGAGCGTGAGGCCCTTCTTAGGTGCACCCGATGCGCCGCCAGTCTCAGGCATTATGACAGCCTGTTCTTTTCAAGTTCCCTGGCAAGAGAAAACAAGCACATCCCCTTATTTAATCACTACACCTCGCGCGGTCTATTCCATTCCTTAGTACTTACTTTACCCAAATATTAACACGATCATCCCTCATACTTCCCTTAACTTAGGTAGGTAAAACTTCCTCACCTATACCTAGTCACTCATTTCTTTTTTTCTTACCCTCTCATCATTCCTTTATGCCTTTTTCCCATTCACTTCTCATACCCGGATGTCGTTCCACTAGGGACAACGGTAGGCTTTCCGCTATCCCCGGCAACGGCGCCACCTGTCGTGCGCATCGGTCCGGCAGCGCACCASGGCAGCGCGGGACCCTCCCGGCCGCGTCACGCAGGAGTTAGTTAACAATCCTTCGTCGCGAATATACATGGAGCTTCCATAAACCGCTCCGGCCGAGTGCGCCATCCATACCTCTCGCGAGCCCCTACGACAGGGTAGGGCCTACACGAGGCACAACTTACCTACACCTTACGGGAGCTGTCACCTCCCTTCAGTGGGCGTATCCCCGCCGAGCTACCAGTCCACAGTACGAAAGCTAATCAGTTGCAATCGCAGAGGTGGACCAACCGAGGGCGTTTCTCGTTCGATGTAGCATAGGGGGTACGCGCGGTAATACGCCTCTATCGGACCCATATGCAAACCGACATCATGGGGGGTTGAAGTCCCAAGCGCGGCTCGTCGTCGGTCGACTAGGACGCATCCCACACACCACGCGCACACCACTTTACGAACACAATAATAAGACCCACACACACATATACGAGGCAACACAATATAAACAACGCGACAACGCTCCTAGCCCCTCGGTAACCGCCCCATAACTTCCTGATACGGAAATCGGATAGGTGTCACGCGCGAGACTTAATATAAATCCTTGCGGACGTAGGGAAGACTCATATCGACTTGCTACGCAAAACGTACGCAAGCGGTCACAATGATGGCGGGCCATGTGGTACCCAAACTCGCGCGGTCCCCGTTAATCATGAGGGTCGCGTTCGACACTCAAGTGTCGGCTGACACGCGCCTTGAGGGTTAATTTCTCGACGCTGGACAACCGCCATGCGCGGTTGAAGACCACACCCTCTTCTGCACCCTGTGCAGAGGGGTTGAGTAGACAACTTTGAGCTGTCGTGGTGGTCGAACATCAAGGGGTTTGACTTTGACGGCTGCCACGGACTATAATGTCCAACTATAAAAAACTCCAAAGAGCAAACGATAAGGAATAGGCCGAAGGCTCCCCGCTTAGTAAACAAAATCATAGCCCTGGGGTACCTTCCCTTTTTCGCGCGGCGTTGGTGGCCTATAACAATTTCAAACATTCGCCCATATGTGTCGGTCCCCTTGTAATCCCATAACTTTTTACACACTAGGGCGGTAGGACGTCGCGCGCGGGATTTTAGTATAAAGTCGCGCAGCCGAGGGCCTATTTCATACCAACCCGCAATGCAGGCGTACGCATGCAATCGCAACGATGGCGTACTATGTAGTGCCCATAGTCAGGCGGTCCCTCGTGGATCCGGGTATCGCTTATGACACTCAAGTGTCAGACTCGAGGTGTCGTGAGGATCTAATCCTTCACGACATTGCACGGCTGAAGAAATAGTCGTGCAGCCGCCGCGAGCCCTCCGGCYTTTGGTCTGAGCGTCTCGATAGGCAAGGCAAACAGGCTCTGCGCGAGGAAAAACCCCTTTCCTACAGAGCCTAGGGCTTGGGATGTCCTCGACAAGGACCTCGAATCCCGGCCGAGGACTAACGTCCGACTAAGAAAATCTTTTAAGAAGTAAAACAAATGAAAGGGAAGGGTCTTCCCTACGCCTCTTAGTCTTAACCCCTGAGCAGGCTTTTAATA